TTTAACAAATGTACTCCTCTGGTGGGGGGATGTTGATAATGGGGAGAGGCTATAGTGGGTGTGAGGGTAGGGTTCTAGGCGAAATCTCTGCGCCTTCTGCTCAGTTTTGCTTTGCACCTAAAACTGCTCTAAAAACTAAAGATTGGCTGCTTTTTATGACCTTAGGAGCAAAACAAAAAAATATATATTTATCTGTGGTGGGAAATTTTAGTTTTAAAAGGAAGAAAAAACTCTTTACTTAGCAGGATAACCACTAAATATCCTGTCCTCCAGTCCCCAGAGAGATCAGATAATGGTGGAGCCCAAGGAAATATTAGGACCAAATCTTTACCATCACAGGATTCCAGGTCTCTTTGGAATGACACATTATCAGCACACAAAGATACTATGAGTTAGAATTAGGTAGATTCATAATTGAGTGTTAAAGAGCAAAAGGTACAGATATGATTTAACATCAGGAGAGAGCACTCCTCTGGAAATGACAGAGCAAACCCAGTGGCTCTCAACCTAAAGGCCAGAGCCAGGGTCCTCCAGGGCTTCTATTCCATGGTCCAGCAATCGACAGGCTGAATCAATAAAACGGGGCACTAGGGTTATTACGACTTACTTATTACCGTGTGCCACGCACTGCTTTGAGTACTTCACACATAATAATTCATTTACTCCTCCCAGGAAAACCCCTATGAGGTAGGGACTATCACGATTCCCAATTTAGAGCTCAGGAAAACTTGCCCAAGGACCCACGATGTGTTCAGTGATGAAACCGAGATTTGAACCCAATCCAGAGCTCAAGAGCTTAACCTTTACACTATGCAGATCTCTCTTATGTGCAAACTTCACACAGACGTCTACCACTTTTCAAGTGTATGAAAATGGACCAGTAAATAAATAAGTAAATAAATGTATGCTTCATGAACTATGGAGCAGCTGTTTTGGTCAACAGTATAGTTTGTATTTTCTCAGTCAAAAGACACCGAAAGTAGCAAGAAATGATGTAAGTCCTTAACATTTTTAGTATTACATTTTTTAAATATTCCAATATAGTTAACATACAGTGTTATATTAGTTTCAGGTATACAATATAATGATTCAACAATTTTTTTTTAATGATTCAACAACTCTATACATTACTCTAAGAGTACTCAGCATACTCTTAATCCCCTTCACCTATTTCACTCATTCTCCCAACCCACCTCCCCTCTGGTAACCATGAGTTTGTTCACTATAGGTAAGAGTCTCTTCTTTGTTTTTTTTTCTGAAATCCCACATATGAGTGAAATCATCTGGCGTTTGTCTTTCTCTGACTTATTTCACTTAGCATTACACTCTCTAGATCCAGCCAGGTTGCTGATAATGGCAAGATTTCATTTTTTATGATTGAGTAATATTCCATTGTGTGCCTATACCACATCTCTACCCATTCATCTATCAATGGACACTTGGGTTGCTTCCATAATTTGACTATTGGAAATAATGCTACAATAAACATAGGGGTGCAAATATCCCTTCGAATTAGTGGTTTTGTATTCTTTGGGTAAATACCCAGTAGTGTTTGCTATTCTATTTTTAGCACAAATCATATTGGTGATATTCTAATTCTTAGCCTAAGTGGTATACTCCCAAGGTTCGTTATGTTGGTATGTTATATAAAGTGTGCATGTGTACATGTATAAACACACACACATACTCAACTCACATAATTTTAAGTGATCCATATGTGTGTGTGTGTGTGTGTGTGTGTGTGTGTGTGTGTGTGTGTATATATATATATATATACTTAACATTTAAGAGCATTGGCAGTCTAAGGTCAAAATAGCAACTTTAAAAAACAAGGGGAGTATTTGGGTACTTGGGTGGCTCAGTCGGTTGAGCATCCGACTTCAGCTCGGGTCATGATATCATGGTCCGTGAGTTCAAGCCTCGCGTCGGGCTCCGTGCTGACAGCTCAGAGCCTGTAGTCTGCTCAGATTCTGTGTCTCCCTCTCTCTCTGCCCCTCCCCTGCTCACGTTCTGTCTCTGAAAAATGAATAAACCTTAAAAAAATTTGTTTTAAATAACAGGGTCTTTATGTCTAAAGGATGGGCCTAGCATTACAAAGATGAACCAGATGAACTCAGGAAGGCTGATTTTGGTAATAACACAGCTTCTGACCACAGCATGAGTCATGTACAGTATAAAGTGGATTATTTAAAAAAAAAAAAAAAAAGTATGTTCTCTTCTTCAGCAATAGGGGAAAATTTTGGAAGGGTTTTGAATGAGTGAATAATACCAGTGAAAATAATTACACTGTTAAACATCTTTAATGGGAGTACTAATTTAAATGGGCTGGGACAAACGGGTAAGTCAGGGGAGGGAAAGAACAAAACGTCTGCACACTTTCTACATTAAGTATGTGTAAGTTTTACAATCAGAAGAATATAATGTAAAGGACTGGGGGAAAAAATCTAGAAACAATAAGGCTCTGGTCTGGGAATTCAAAAATCCAATGCCTATTGCTTCTCCCTTCTCCTTTCCATTCCCTAGCTCCTCTAATACTCAAAAGGGGCCAGAACTTTCTCACTGGAAACCTGTCCCTCCTATCCTTCCCCTTTCCCTTCCACCCCATCGTTCTCCTCTCTAATAGACCTCTGTATTCTTAGCACTCTGCCCCCATCTCTACCATTACACTTATCACATAATGAGCATTGTTTAGTAACCACCCACTTGAAGGCAGGCACTGTGCTAGACACCTGCCATGTGTTTCCTCTTTCCTAACCATCACAACTACTTCCATTGACCAATGTTACTATCCCTATAACCTGCCCCAAATCAGATAGTATGCCAGTGACCCAACTCTCTGCTTACTCCAAAGCACATGCTCTTTCTGTTATTATGTGTTCAGGCAATGGCAGGTGCATCTTAAGCACTCAATATGTACTGACAAGAACTAAAAGACGCAGACTTATGCTGTTTGCTTCCAATTAGGAAACAGATGCAAAAAGCAGTCCTCTAAAGGTGAACTTTTCTTTTCCATCCCAACTGGTTCTTCCAGATAATACCCAATGAACCCAGCATTAAAAGAAACTAGCACACGATGGGATAGCCCTGTGCATAAACCAACAGCAAGATAACTGCCAACCCAGCAAGCCAGCACCTTCCCCACCACCTCTGTCTCCCGGAGTTTTGGAGGACCTCTATTCACACTGTTATTTCCTCCTCTACTGAGGAAAAAAGAAAAAAAAAAATTTAACCCCCCATACCCTCCCGCTGAGGGTATCCCCAGTCATCTAATGAGAAATGTCTTAGTTGTGGCTAAAGTCATTTGCTGTAGGCATGCCTGGGTGGCTCAGTTCGTTAAGCGTCCGACTTCGGCTCAGGTCATGATCTCACCATTCCGGAGTTGAAGCCCCATATCTGACTCTGTGCTGACAGCTCAGAGCCTGGAGCCTGCTTCAGAGTCTATGTCTCCCTCTCTCTCTGCCTCTCCCACACACACCCCCCTCTAAAATAAATACACATTAAAGTCATTTGCTGTAAACTGCTGGAGGAGACGGTTTTATTTCTTCTGTATCCCCTTCCCCTCAAGTTCCATCAGAAAAGACTACAGTGAATTATCAAATTATGTTATGGTATTGAAATTTCATCTATAATAGGGCAAATTAAATTGCGTACCTAAATGGGAGAGTGTGCACAGGACCAGGCACATAGCAAGGACTCCAAAAAATAAATAAATAAATAATAATTATTGGAATACAAATTTATGCAGCCAATAACTGCTCACCAGGCACTATGTTAAACGGTTGAGTGCTGAGCAAAACCGACTCTCCCTAGATGGATCTTTTTGTCAAAGGCTATTTAGCTCTGACTTGCCACACAAATGCTCGGTACTCCACAGGCAGTCGCTAAATACTTCGGAACCAAGTATTAAGAAAAGATTCCTTCCCACGGGCCTTTGATAAGATGGAATGACTTTTTTCGTGACTTGAAACCATTCTTATTTTTAAATATTAACCTAAACGGTCGTTTTATTATTGCCGGGTTAGGTCCCTTTAATATGTGCCCCATTTAAAGAGCCCTCAGCTCAGCGGGTCATTTCTTGCAGATCTGCTGCTTGTAGCATTTTAAAGAGCTGAAGGCGGCACGTGTTGCCGGCTCTGGGGCAATCAAGGCTGCTTTCCCCAATTCTGTGCACTGGGGTTACATCTTTTCACTCACTTTCTCCCCAATTCGTTAAGTATATACACCGAGTAAAGATGGAGAGATCATGCCGTCCGCGCTTACGACCGGCTTTTATAAAAATGCGCGTCTCGGGTCCCGGGGAGACGGACGCGCTGCCACTCACATCCGGCTACAAGGCTCTAAGCAAACCACGCTGCAAGATGCAATGTATAGGGCGGATCTGGGGCGGCTGGTAGGCTCGGTATTGGAGTGATGTAGGGGGATGGAGAAGGATCTGGAAGAATCCGGTTAGACCGGGAAACGGACGGGGGAGGGCCGGGGAAGGGCGCTGGGCCGGAGGGGAGCAGGAGTAGTGTGCGGGGGAAACCCCCAGAGTCCTAGAGTTTCAGGAGTGGGGGCAGGGGAGAGCCAAGCAGCTAGGAGAAGGAATGACCCCCCCGTAAAAAAAAAAAAAAAAAAAAAAAAAAAAAAAAATTAATATAAGCGCCCTTAGTACTACAGCCCGAACGGGCTTAGACGCCGCCGTCTCTAGAAAGTTCTCCACCTCCTCCCCCTCCGTCCGTCGCTCCCGCCCCAGCTCCTCCCAGCCCCTCCCTCCGCGGCGGGGTGGGACCAATCGCTCCCCGCGGCCGCTCATTACCCACCTACTCCTGCTCCCGCGCCCGATCCGCCGCGGGTTGCGAGCGCGCCGGTAGCCAGAGGTGCTCGAGCCTTCGACCGGTTCGCAGCTGGGTGGCCGCCGCGCTAGCGCCTTCCCGCCCGCACGCCCGTGCAGACAGGCCCGGACGAGAGGGCTTGGCTCGCGCCCAGTGCTCCCGGAGTAAACGGCGCACCGAGTGGCGATGACCGCTGAGGAGATGAAGGCGGCCGAGAGCGGGGCGCAGTCGGCGCCGCTGCCCCTCGAGGGGGTAGACATTAGCCCCAAGCAAGACGAAGGCGTGCTGAAGGTAGGGGGATGGGGGGCACGGCAGACGCCCATCGCAGCCGCCCTTCCCGCCGAGCCTGGGAGCCCCGGGCCGCCTCTGCAGCGTCCGGGCGGGTCGTTGAGCCGGGCCGGCGGCCGGTTGCATCGCCTTCCTGGATCTAGCTGCGTTGTTCGGGCTGGGAGGGCCGCCGCACTCTCGCAGCGGGTGGCCGATGTGCGCGGGCCTCCCCACGGCCGTTCTCCGGCCCCCTAGGGGGGGCCCGCGATGGTGAGGTCTGGCCCCAGCAGCCTGCGGCGCCCGGGCCCGGGACTGCAGCGCCAACTCCGGCGTGCGCGGTGCAGCAAGTGGAGGGCTTGAGACCGCAACGCTGCACGCGAGCTGCAGCTAGAGGGCCCCGGGCGGCATGCACCCGGGCCCGCTCCGGCTCCTTTCGCTCCCCTCAGCTCTCCGCGACCCTGCGTCCCCGGCCAGGCCGCCCACCGCAGCGGGAAGTCCCTGGCCGCCTTCGCTGGCGGTGCTGCGAGAGCTCGCCCACCCCACCCCCCGGGCAGTTAAACATTAGCTAGGACATGAAGCGGGTCACCAGAGTTATTTCCTGGCCCAGAGGCCTTTGTACGACTTGGTGTCCGGGGCCTCGCCGTGAAAGAGGTTCTGATGCCCTCCGTCCCCTTGGTTACCCTCTTCCTAAAGGCTGGGACTCAGCTAGGTCACCCGCTCGGCCATGCTGCCCCCTTCCCCCCGGCCCCGGGAAAACCAGGGAGCAGTGCATGCCGGGACCTGTAGTTCCCCTCCCACCTCGCCCTCTGCCGTCTTGATTTGGGGCATGGGGTGTGGGGCCGGGAGGAGGTGCTTTGCTGGGAGCCTCGGAGGAGGGAAAGGGAGGGATCTGACATTCGGGGAAGGGCATCTTGACCTGGGTCTGAACGACTGATGGTGCTTCAGAGCAGGTTTTGCAGAGTACAGGATGACGAAATCAGCCTGGATTTCATACCTCCTCCTCAACCAGTGTTTCTTTTCGTCCTGGCCTCCCACTGCTCAGTTCCACGTGTGTGTGTGTGTGTGTGAGAGAGAGAGAGAGAGAGACAGAGACCTGAGCAAAGCTAGAGATCTCGGCGAGCCCTTATCTGGTCCAGAAACGCTCCTGGTTTTGCCCCACATGTTCGAATCTTAAGCTTTTCTCCCAGTGGGCATGTGGCTTCCCCTTCTTTCCAGCATTCTGGTGATTTCTACAAGGTTATTCATCCCAGAAGGGCCATTTCCCCTTTTTTTCCTCCAGTCCTTCCCCTTTGCCTTTCTATTCCTCAAGTCATTTGTCCTTTTCCTTAGAAGGTATACCTACCCAGGTGATCCATGGAGTCTCCTTGTCACCTCTTTTAAGTGTTAAAGAAGAGGAGCAGAACTTAAGTTCCTGAGAAATGCTCTTAGTCCAGAAATAAAAGACTTAATTAGCCTACCAGTCAGGAATGGTGGTGTCCCAAGTCAGTTTAAGGGCCCGAGTGAGAGCCCCTGTGCTTATCAGTGACCTGGTATTTTAGGACTGCTGCTATCCTGTTCATTATTCATATTCTCATCCTTGTCTTATCTGCAAACCAGATCTTGATCTGACGACCACTGGCATTTCTTTGCTGCTGCTGATAATCATCTTTAACTTTTTACCAATGTAATTCTCCAACCCTGATAGGGATTATTATTGCTAGTTTACAAATAAGGTCTAGAGAGTTGGACTTGTACAAGATCATACAGCAAAAACTTGAACCTCGGGTCTTTTGGCTCTAGTTTTCAAACCAAGTCGTTTTATGTTCCACCTCAAGTAAAATGGGGGGAGGGCGTGGGAGGTCAGTTGACTTCTAGCCAAACTCCATATCAGAATCATTTGAGGCTTAGTCCCTTGGCTTAAAAGGAAGCAGACGATTCCTTCTGGGTTTCCATCAGAAGTATGCAGGTAGTGTGGGTGCCTCTTTCTGCCCCCATGCCTGGGTACTCACCTTTTCCCCCTTCCTCCCAGGTCATCAAGCGAGAGGGCATGGGCACAGAGTTGCCCATGATTGGGGACCGAGTCTTTGTCCACTACACTGGCTGGCTGTTAGATGGCACTAAGTTTGACTCCAGTCTGGACCGCAAGGACAAATTCTCCTTTGACCTGGGCAAAGGTAGGCATGGTTAGTGGGTTGGTAGTGTAGGCTCTGTGGAGGGTATAAGCTGTCACAAACAGAAACTATACTCTCAGAAGTTTAAGGAGGAATGGTTTGTTACACGCTGTTAATTTTTCTTCTGTTACTTTTTTTTTTTCCTTCTACTCTTCTGTAACTATCGATCTCTGATCTCTATCTCACCTTCCCTGATCATCTCTGAACACCTCAGTTCCTGTTCAGGGATGGACTGCCTTATTCCTTAAACTCCTTTGTTCCAGAGTTGAGTGGGGGTTTTTTTGTTTTGTTTTTCCTTTACTTTTCTCTTTTTAAGAGGTCTGAGACCTGACAGCACTTATTGCAACTAAGTTTTCTACTTTTCTAAAGAGTGTCTAGCCTCCCCTTGGGCGTGGTATAATAAAAGTCTTTTGGAGCCAGTGTTTGAGCCCAGAGTCGGATCCCTGCCAAAGAGGACCTGTTTGCTTTCTATACCTACAGGGGAGGTCATTAAGGCTTGGGACATTGCTGTAGCAACCATGAAGGTGGGAGAAGTGTGCCACATCACGTGCAAACCCGAATATGCCTACGGTTCAGCAGGCAGCCCTCCAAAAATCCCCCCCAATGCCACACTTGTGTTTGAGGTGAGTGTCCAGGAGCAGAGAGCAAGGCGAAGAACCAGCCTTATCTCGCCTGGGTCCTGGCTGCCCTCCAGCCCTTCCTGCTGCTTGGAGACAATGTAGCCAAGGCTAAGGGCCTGGCCTTAGAGGAGGAAGAGACAGGGAGAGGGCAGCTCACTCTGCTGTGCACATAGCATGCTGCTGCCAGAGAGCAGCAGCTGATGGAGGTCTCGGGTGGAGAGAGGTGGCCACAAACCCCTCTTCGGACCTGAAGCAGGGTGAGGGTTGAGGCATATTTTATGTCAGGAGCAGCACCCAGAGATTGGTTATAATTTTGACTGGAAGAGGTCAGGAGGTCTATACATTCTAAATGACAGTATGGAATACCAGTGCTTTAGGATCAGAGGAGGGGAGGGATGCGCCCCGTGGGTCAAGGGGATGAGGAAAGCTTTCACTGAGAGGTGGAACTTCATTCATTCCGAGGATGGCTTAGCCCTCATTAGTGGATACTTGGAGAATGTTCAGAAGACTACTGAAAGATATTGGGTCATTTCCAATGCCTACCAGATTGGCCTTCTCAAGTAGCTGGATTAGGATAGGCTGGAACGTGGATAGGATAGGCTGGATCTTCTGAGGTCAACAAAAGCCGTGGGACGGGCCCACCCCTACCAGAGTTGAGACTAGAGCCCCCGGGACTTAGAACTTTTGCTAAGTGCCACTTTGTCCACTCCTGGTCTGGCAGTTACTAAGGACTGTTCTGAGTGAGGGAGAAGTTGCATCTCACTGCTGATGGAGTTAGTGCCCAAAGGAGTCGTGTTGCCTTATGTGTTGTCCCACAGGTGGAGCTCTTTGAGTTCAGGGGAGAGGACCTGACAGAAGAAGAAGATGGCGGAATCATCCGGAGAATACGGACTCGGGGTGAAGGCTATGCCAGGCCCAATGAGGGCGCTATCGTGGAGGGTGAGACAGTATAGTCTGGGATTTCCGTTCTGATTCTAGTACTTAGGCCCTGGGTGGTTCTGGGCAAGTCACTTCCTTTTTAATTTATTTATTTTTTTCAATGTTTATTTTTGAGGAAGAGACAGAAGATCGTGAGCGGGGGAGGGGCAGAGAGAGACAGAGGAGACAGACACTGAATCCCGAGCAGGCTCCAGGCTCTGAGCTATCAGCACAGAGCCTGACAGTGGGGCTCGAACCCACAAGCTATGAGATAATAACCTGAGCCTAAGTCGGATGCTCAACCAACTGGGCCACCCACGCACCCCATGTCACTTCCTTTTCTGATCCTAATTTCTTGTCTGAGAGACGAGGGATTGGACCATTTCCTCTTAACGTCCCTCCAGCTCTGAGAACACGACAAAGACATCTTGGGGGCAGGAAGTGATGAGGTGATAGAGGGAAGCCGGTGGCATCCTTCCTCAATCCCTTGCCTGCTCACATCCCTGACACATTGCCTCTTTTTCATACCAGTTACACTGGAAGGGTACTATAAGGACCAGATGTTCGACCAGCGGGAGCTCCGCTTTGAGGTTGGTGAGGGGGAGAGCCTGGACCTGCCTTGTGGGCTGGAGAAAGCCATTCAGCGCATGGAAAAAGGAGAACGTTCCATTGTGTACCTCAAGCCCAGGTGAGGAGTGGGTGCTTTGTTTTGTTTTTTTTTTTTTTTAATTTTTTTTTTTTCAACATTTATTTATTTTTGGAACAGAGAGAGACAGAGCATGAACAGGGGAGGGGCAGAGAGAGAGGGAGACACAGAATCGGAAACAGGCTCCAGGCTCTGAGCCATCAGCCCAGAGCCTGACGCGGGGCTCGAACTCACGGACCGCGAGATCGTGACCTGGCCGAAGTCGGACGCTTAACCGACTGCGCCACCCAGGCACCCCGAGGAGTGGGTGCTTTGTATAACAGATGGGTGATCAAAAGTCCGAGATCCACATGTCCACAGTTAGTTGTGTAACTGGACACTTGTATCTTTTCCTCTGTGTGTGTTCACTACTCCCACAGCCTCAGTAGAGGGCCCTGCAACTCTGCACAGCAAACGTGATCTCCATATTTAGGAGCACGGTCACAGTTGTCCACATCTCAAATCAAAGGCTAACCTTTTCAGTCAAGGCTGCTCAAGATTCCCTCCTTTACCAATGTCAAAATTTTTATTTTCCATTAATGTTCTCCATCATTGTGATATTTATTAAAACATGCCTATTATGTGCCAGGTATAATGCTGAAAATTCCCAGGTATTCAAAGACCTTATTCCTGCCTTCTAGTGACTCATTGCTCAGGGAGCTTTAGCAATTAGTAATTGAGTAATCATCCCAGTGTGTAGTGTGCGTGAGGAGGATGTGGAAGATGCTAAGAGACCAGCTAATTGTGTGAAGAGGTCAGGGAAGATTTTGCCAAACAGGAAACATTTGAACCAAGTCTCAAGGGATGGGAAGTTACTTTGCAGGAAACAGACAGGAAGCCTTTTCAGTAGGGAGCGGGTTAAGCATGGCAGCGGTGACCTAGATTTTTTTTGCCCCCCTCCTTCCCCCCAGCTATGCTTTTGGCAGTGTTGGGAAGGAAAAATTCCAAATCCCACCAAATGCTGAGCTGAAATACGAAGTACACCTCAAGAGTTTCGAGAAGGTGAGCTTGCTCGAGGTCTTCTCTGTCCCGGAATCTGGTCGCAGTAGGTGGCCTTGAGGTAGCTCACAGCTTTGTTTCTGTCTTGGGGTTAGGCCAAGGAGTCTTGGGAGATGAACTCCGAGGAGAAGCTGGAACAGAGCACCATAGTGAAAGAGCGGGGCACTATGTACTTCAAGGTGAGCCAGCATCTGGGGCCTGGTGGAAGGCCCCTCTGGGCCCAACCTTCCTCCTGATGCCTGAAGTCCTTTTCTGCCAGGGAGAGGATGGCGGCGGCGGGAATGCCTATAGTCTTCACCTAGTAGATCTAAGCTAGCTGCTCTTGCTGGAGGAGGAGGGGAGGCAGGACTTCTCATGCCCATACATCACTGGTGTCTACAGAGTCTGACAGCCTGGTGCCCCTGAACCTGTGTCTATTGCCTAAGCCTCCCTCCCTCTCTAGGAAGGCAAGTACAAGCAAGCTTTACTGCAGTACAAGAAGATTGTATCCTGGCTGGAATATGAGTCGAGTTTCTCTAATGAGGACGCACAGAAGGCACAGGCCCTTCGCCTGGCCTCCCACCTCAACTTGGCCATGTGTCATCTGAAACTACAGGCCTTCTCGGCTGCCATCGAAAGCTGTAACAAGGTGAGGCCCTTTTAGAGAGGGCATGGGTGCAATGTTCACGGATTTGGCTGGGTGAGCTGCCAGCAGGTCTGAAACTTGGTCTCAGTGACTAGGGTAGGGGTAGGATAGTAAGTGGGCTAGTGGAAGCTCAGAGATGAAGGGCCCAGAGGCAAGGGCTCTTGGCTTTAGTGGTAGGAGAAGCAAGCACCTTGGCTTTAGTGATAGGAGGCAGCTGACACAGGTAGAAGGTAACACTGGATGGGAAAAACCGCTATGGCATTTTCTCGGCCCTGGTTCCTAGTCTGTCCCTCTTCTATACCTGCTTTATTCTAGAGAAAACGAAAATGTTGTTACGGGTCTTTCTCTTTCACCTAAAGCTCTGTTTTCCCTTTGCTTCTTGGACTAACTGGGATTCTTTCTTAAACCTTGGTTTGTTCATTTAGTGCCCCGAAACTCCTTTCTGGGGTGGAGCCAGCCATTTCCATTCTGCCTCATCCTGCGGAGTGAGGACTACCTTTGGAACCCAGTCTTGGCCACAGGCTGCAGGGACTGACGTCTCACTGTTGCTTCCTTAGGCCCTGGAACTGGACAGCAACAACGAGAAGGGCCTTTTCCGCCGGGGAGAGGCCCACCTGGCGGTGAATGACTTTGACTTGGCACGGGCTGACTTCCAGAAGGTCCTGCAGCTCTACCCCAGCAACAAAGCCGCCAAGGCCCAGCTGGCTATCTGCCAGCAGCGGCTCCGCAAGCAGCTCGCTCGGGAGAAGAAGCTCTATGCCAACATGTTTGAGAGGCTAGCTGAGGAGGAGAGCAAGGTAAGGATTGGGACAGGGAACAGTTGGGATAGACAGAAGAGGAGGCTAGGCCTAACCCAAGTGCCGTGGCTGTTCATGCCTCTGGTTGTATGGGTCACTCCTGGAAACCAGAAGCTACCCTTGTCTCTGGAGGAAGAACATGTATGTTCCTTCACAGAACCCTGTTGTGGGGGCCACACTTCCTCAGTGATCAGGGCTAAAAACCCACTCACAAGCCCCAGAGGTGGGGAGTTGGTTACTGTGTGTGCTTCCCAACCTGTACCTTTTTAAAGCCTAGGTTTTATCTGTCTGTTTGTCTATCCATCTGTCTGTCTGAAAGAGAGAACATGGGGGGGGGGGGGA